GTTATCGTCCTTTACGAAGTATTCAATTCATCTATCACTCAGCGTGTATATCAAATACGAGCGTGAGGTATCCCCGCAATCTCAGGCTCTACAAGACCTGGGAGGCGCGGCTGAGTTAGCTAATTAGACACAAGTCTAATTTCTTGTAGAATGGACGGTGTCAACGATGTGCCAGACTCGACCGACACTGTGCTTTTCCAGACGGCTCGCGTAGGAATACAAGCATCAGGTTAGCCCAATGACCATATACACCTGTGTTGGGGTAGGCTGTCGGGGAACCTTCTCTCCCTCTCCCCAGACATTGCCGCATCGAGGTTATCCAGCATCAGATCGATACACTTGCTGCCCAAATATATACTACTACGGTACTCTATCTCAAGCCGATGCCTCCCTTTCCCTGCTAGAAGACTATCTCAGCTGTTTCGACTAGGGCCCGAGGGTGGAGCTGTCACATATAACAGAAACATCATCCCCTTCTACAATCAGCAATCCTTCGTTACAGCCAGGCCCTGCACCCCAACCGGAACACATTTCACTTTCAGCCGAATCCATCGTAAAATGCATGCCGCCTTGAGGGAGCTTTAGGTTCCACTACTCTTTGTATTGGGAGATAGCTTTGGTTCCAGGGTGATGGGGCCAACGCGGTACGGAGTCGGAGTCAGCCTCGGAGTCGGTCACGGGGCCGGACTATGCCAACAGACTACCTAATTTAGCAACTGTTAGGAGCTCAGGGATAGCATAAAACCTGCCGTAACACTTCCAATAATCTCATTGCCATAGACCACTAATACAATTGTTTGAAATCTTGGTCAACCTTGTTGATAATGTCTTCATGTCCTGACGCGATGTCCAGAGCACAACCGGTCGACTCTGTGAAGCTCTATAGCATCTTAGCCGGAATTATGATAGCCACTTTTCTGATATCATTGGATGTCTCTATTATTGCTACTGTAAGTTTATTGATGACTTTTCCCTTGAAATTCTGTGTAACTAAAGTCATATCTAAAAGGCTATTCCTTCAATATCAACCCACTTCCACGCTACAACAGATATCGGCTGGTATGGAGCTACCTATCCGCTCACGATGTGCGCTCTTCAGCCTATCAGTGGCAAGCTTATGTCATTACTGTCACTGCGATGGACATATCTTGGGTTCTACGGTATATTCCTTCTTGGATCTCTGATTTGCGGTGTAGCAAACAGTTCCGAAATGTTTATAATCGGAAGAGCAGTCGCTGGTACTGGAGGCTCTGGGGTAGTATCGGGTGGTCTCTCAGTTATTGCATTAATAACAACTCCTCAGCAACGTCCACTGTTTACTGGGCTGATAACCTCTCTTCATGCCCTGGGAACTGTTGTGGCCCCAATTATCGGGGGCGCTTTGGCTGAATATACGTGGAGGCTGTACTTTCTAATCAATCTTCCAGCAGGAGCAGTGACTGTGGTGACGTTACTTTTATTTTTCCATCCACCTCAAAACACTGGGGCCCATCGTGTGTCCTTCCTAAAACAGCTCGATTTGATCGGATGTGCTCTCTTTATACCCTCCATCATTATGGTGATGTTGGCCTTACAGTGGGGAGGTGGCGAGTATCCTTGGGACTCAGCGACCGTGATCGGACTCTTCATCGGCTTTGCAATGATGATAACAATCTTTGTGTTCTGGGAATATTACATGGGCGACCAAGCTATGGTCCCAATGGTGCTTCTGCGGGACAGATCGACAGTGCTTAGTATTACATTTGCCTTTTTGTTTTTGGGGTCATTCGTTATTCCGATCTATTATCTACCGGAATGGTTTCAAATTGTTAAGTCAGCAAGCCCCATTCGCAGTGGAGTCATGCTTCTGCCTTCAGTTTGTACTCAGGTTTTTGGATCACTTGTCTCTGGAATACTAGGTAAAGACAGGAAATATTCACATCATTTCACGAAAATTTATACTGACGCTGTATTGCTATAGCCAAACACCTCAGATATTATAATCCGTGGCTCTGCATTGGTTCTGCCTTCCTCTGCATTGCGAACGGGCTTTACACAACTTTTACTGTATCCTCAACATCCGCATCGTGGATTGGGTATCAGATCTTCCAGGGTCTGGGTTGTGGATTTGCAGCCCAGATTCCTTTACTTATAGTTCAGCTTGTACTGAAGGACAGGCCTCACTACGTTCCAGTCGGGATAGCGACTGTTCTCTTCACGCAATACTTTGGAAGTGCAGTGATGCAAAGCATAGGAGGCGCTATCTTTCAGAACGAATTGAAAAGACAGCTACAAGATCAGGCATCGCTGGATTATAAGGAGATCGAGGTGCTTCTCAATACTGGAACCCTAAGGGTGCGGGAAGTTGCCGTACAAGCATTTCCGGACCGTTTGGCCGATATTATCATTGCATACAATAAAGCTATCACAACTATCTTTGTGAGTTAATCTACTAATCTTGTCACCTCCGTGTTAGGCTAGCGATGCTGACTCTACTAGTATCTTCCAATAGCTGGTAGCGCTCTAGCATTTATTCTATCCGGCGGAATTCCATGGCTCAATACTCGCCCAACGCAGGAAGATGACGATATTCATTGTACAGAGCCAACTGATAAGCTGCAGTCAGACAAGCAGGCCACTGTGTGAGGAATCACTCCATCTATTGTACACTCACCAAAGCTCACCCGGGCGCAGCCACCCAACTTGTGGCCGCGTTTAAGCCACACGCCGGGAGGTTCGTAGGTGGGTGGGTGACCACCGGCGAATCCCTCCTGCTGTACGTTTTTCTTTTCGTTATCGTTAGTTTTAATAAGAATTATTCAATTCATCATTCAGCGCGCAAATAGAATATGAGCGTGATGGTGCAGCATAGAGTACATCTAGCATGCTGAATGCCACATGTAAAACTCCGGACACATACTTTGCGACTGATAGTATCACGCCAATAGAGAGATGGAGGAGCGTCCGCTGACAGTTCTAGCATAGAATTAGTCTACGACAATGGCAAATCAGTTTACTTTCCAGGACTGCAACGATGCCTATACAATAGGGTCTCAAATTCTCCACAAAAAAACTGCAAATCAAATAGTTCCCGTTTCCAGAAACAAGAATATGTACAGGATCAACCCGCTGTGAAGAATAGAATAAATCACAAGGCAAAAGTGAATCAATCACAAGAACCAGCCATCAGAAAGTAATCTCCTCCATCTCTGCCTTTCCCCCCTAACTAGGCATTTCCACCACACTTGGGGAAAGGAGCGTCATCTGGCGAAACCTTTCCAGCATATCCAACACTGTCACCGGGGTGTGCAAAGACAGTCTCCTTGCCCTCGACAGTGCTGCATCCGTTTCCAATATTCGCCGTGAAGATCTCGGGCAGCTGATTAAATTGCGTGGAGTCAGAGCCGCCCTCGATCTCGACCTGGGCGCAGTTCATGTACATCTCGCGGTTTCCCTCGATGTTGAACCAGCTCCAAGCGAACAGCGCATGGCCACCGGGCGCGAACGAGGGGATCTCAAAGTCCCATTCAAGCTTGAGCGGGCATCCTCCCATGTACGACTCGATCACACGGAAGGTCTGGCCGTTATCGTAGCTGAGCGAGATCTGGCAGGAGCCTCCGCGGTGGCTGTTTCCGGGCGCAAGTTTCATGTAGTCGCTTTGGCCGGCGGTGTAGTTGGCAACGGTGCGCCAGGCGGCGTTCTTATGGTGGCCTCTGCAGGGGAAGTTGGATCCTGTGTTTGGATGCCATTATTAGATCCGGCTGGGCTATTTTGAAGGGATAAGGGACTCAACGGGGTTATGGCTCTTACCATTTGGCTCCAATGGGGAGGTGTTGTCGTAGTCAATGTTCGACCAGTCGTTCTGGGGATCGAACTGACTCTTCAGAGGGAAAGGACGGACCATTTCCATGTGGGCCAGAGCGGTGCTGGCGGTTGCGATTGCAGCGACGATGTAGGCGGTGAAATGCATCTTGCTTGATGTGTGAGCTTGTGTTGGCTGTTGGACAAGGTGAGGGTTTTGGCTTGAGATGGAGGCACGTTCTGAGATGCCAATGTCTTGGTCGCGAGTTGGTGTTCTTATATATTCGTGGTTTGACGAACTGATATCTCGTCTCATATCCCTGTTACCCTCGCCGGATATGTAATGATCCTCCGATGCTACGTTGTTTAATTAAATGTGAGGCATGATACTGGATGCTATGATGTGTGGATACTGCAACCCCATCCATGGAAATTGTTCGTCCCATACATCACGTTGAGGTTGTTCGACGGTGACATTCGACGGCGCTTAGAGTGATATATAATATACAGACAGCTAGAATAGGATACGATCAACACGCACAGGCAATTACAGCGCATATCAATAATATTCATTGTTGTGTATAGGCGAAATGCCGACGATGTCACTACTGGACGTTACCAAAGCAGCACACCACGCAGATCGGTGCTGGATGCCTATCAATTCCAAGTACGTAAAACGTTGATTGGAGAAATGAGCTTAAGCAGAACTTGCAGCAGGCTCAGTTTCGTCACGTTACATCGGCGCCAGGATTCATGGTTGGGGTTCTGAAGAACTGTCCACCTTCTGTTTAGGTACATTATCGACGAGCAGGCTAAGCCCTAGTTGTCGCATCGCCCTATGTCCTGCATGCAAACTCATTTCCTGGGCTGATATCAGATCCTCTTATGATTGGGCCGAAGGACAATCCATTAGGAGAGCGTTGGAAGGGGGAGCGTGTAGAGGATTTTGGAAATCTCTTGGCGTGACCAGAATGTAACCCTATAAAATTAGAGTGTTTTATAGGCGATCTGGACAATCCCCGGTGTGGGTCGCGTTGAAGACATGAAACACAACTCATTTCCCGGATCTAGCGGCATTGTATGGTTTGATCGAGCGCGATTCGATCAGTTGAGTAGATCAATTATCATGTAACTCTTGGGTGGCTCCCGATATCAACTTCAGTCTCAAGTATGCCAAGGAAATGTATAGAACTGCATGAACTGCATCTCTCCTCGAGAAGATAGGTCAGAAACAATTTCCGCGGCGCGTAATTGAACATGAATATCCGTAGTTATCCGTTCACGCCGACTAATGTAGTAACTGCCGTGCACTACCAGAAGCTACATCACCATACAACCTCATTTTGATTACTTCCATAATGACACCGTGACTACTGTCCATGGAGGGGTCTTAGCAAAGATCGACATGAATATGCAGATATCCGTGAATGTCTTTGTCGGACATGAGCGGTGATGCTGAAGAATAAGGGGCAACTATCTTTGCAAAGCGCTAGGGAGGTTCTAACCTGGGGTATACATGCATTCATACAGGTAATGTTGGATTTTAAATAATCTAGTCGGCATTTCCCAATAGTGTGTTTTCCGACCAGGAAAGTATACCACTTCCTGGACTTTTCCAAGATGAGCCTTGTGCAATTCGCAAAGTTTCTCCTCACCCCCTCATAGCTACCGAAGATAACGGAATAAGATTCTCTATCATAGCTTGTTGTAATACATGTAGTGCCAATACGATCCGATGGGAGTGATGGATGAGGGAAGCTTGGGTATAGGCGTGCGATGATATCTTCAGGTATATATTGCAGGTTAAGTACCCCATCGCCCGTCTATCGAGTGTGAAATGCCCGATTGCAAGCCCATGGCCGGATACTTTCAAGCAAGATACGGGAAATATAGAGTCGCTGTGGTTACCGACACAGTCCCTGAAGGGTAGAAGATCTATTACTCGAGTGGTTATAATTACTGTACAATGCTCTTACTACTAGTAACCCTAGTTGCTGCTCCCACATGACCACCCGTGGCATATTGCAACATTACTAGGCATTCTCAACCCTCACCTGCACAGTGACCGGTTTATAGAATCAAAGCTCACTGGTCTTCCGTCCGTCCATGGGTTTACGGTAAAGTTGATAGGCGGAAGAACGCCGAAATTCACTATAAAGCTGGTGCTTTGCCATCTGAAACCTATCAAGATATATATTAGGAACACCCTTATACCGTCATCAGCTCAGCTTGCATGTTTGCTTCTGATTCAAGTTCGAGAATCACCCTGAACTTACAAATTAAGCTACGTTCTGTGATATAATAACTATAATATCAACATGGAGATGATGCGAATCCAATTGGTGCGCGTTCGGCTTGACACTTGAGCCAACGGTTGGGGGTGGAACTCGACGGCCTTCCCCCACGATAGAGAATCAGGTCCGAAAGTTAAACATCAGAACGTCTCGCAACCGGTGCTACATCTAGTTAGTCCGGCCCACAATCTTCAGAGGTCTAATTGTCGGATTTACTGAAACTCCGAGGTTGGTTCCGCCAAGAAGGAAAAGTGGCAATATCTTGTCATTCCAAAGACACATATACATACATTTAGATTTCAAAACAAAACGAGGTAAGAAAATAGAAATATGACAACTCAAGGCAAAGCATTGAACTTGCGTAGCTCAGACTCGGTCCAGTCCCACAGGCGTTTTCCCATATCCTTGCTTTTGGCATAGTGATTATATGGCTTCAAATGTCCCACGGGAATGTAATAGCTTCCATTGACGAGGTCTTGCTTTTTCGCACCAGCTGCGGCCCACAGCTCATTATAGGCTCCCTGAGGAACGGGCGTTCCAAAAAGATTTAGTGTCTTTGAGCCCAGCGCAGCAAGGGTAGAGCGCTCGTTCAACGAGCTGTAAAGATCAGTGAGGATAATCCCGGGGTGGACGGAAACGGAGGTTATGGAAGGATGCCGCCGCGCAAGCTCAGCTGCGAATAGGATGTTCGCTGCCTTTGACGCTCCATATCGAGTGTTCGTGTTCACCTTCTTCAACCGGTCCTGATCCAGTATGGTTTCAAAGGACGGAGCCAGAGTATGTCCGATCGATGCGAGTGACACAACCCGAACATCTGAATTTGGCTCTTCTGCTGTCTTGAGCAATGTCGGCAACAACAGCTTGGTGAGAAGAAAATGACCAGTATGATTAGTACCAAGCTGGATCTCATGGCCCATCTCTGTCTCTCCCGGTGGAAGAGACATCACACCGGCATTGAGGATCAATATGTCGAGCCGTGATGATTCTGCGTGGAATTTTTGTGCCGCTGTTTGAATCGATTTAATGGACATTAAATCCAGCGGAAGCCAGGTGATTTCAACATTCTTCGATAGCGACGCTTTTATAGAGCTGATAGCCGCCTGCGCCTTCGTCTCCGACCGTGCAGCAAGATATATTCTTTGTGGTCGATGCTTGGCCAGCTGAAGAATTGTTTCTTTGCCTAGTCCAGCATTTCCTACAAAGAATCAGCATGTTTTCTTACTTCTCGCAAGTGAAGCATGACATACCTCCGGTCACTAACGCTACCTTTCCTGATAGATCTGGGATGTCTCGATCAGGGTTGAAGCTCACACCTCCAATATAATTGCAAGGGTTCAGATTCGCTCCTATGAATGCTGCCATTTCTTGAGTGTACCAAGTTTTGGAGATAGGATTAAATGTTCAATAAATGTTGAAAGCAAATAGAAACAGGCGTTATATTGGTGTCGTATCGCCTGTCTAAGATAGATAGATAATGATTGATTCTAGGCCAAACACCTACCCCTGCAGACCCTTTATATATTTAGAGGTGGCAAACGTTCTGTCCCGTTCTTACTCTAACACTGAAGATCTTGCGATCTTGCGGGATTCCTCCTTCAAGTGGACACATCAATGTGAAGCTGATCCGAGTCCGAATACTACTCTCAATAAGCTTGCAGATCATCATCCGTTTCCCCAAACCATTGGCATGTCTTTGCGAGTCGGGTAGATTGTTGACCCGGCCCACATACCAAATCCGCCACAGGCCCCACTTGTTCCAAAGGCTTGTCTTTTAATTCTGGGTTGTATGTGCAAAGGCTCATGATGCCACTAATTTCTAATATGAGCGATGCCGGGTCTATATTGAGTGGTAGTAAAAGCAAACCGAGGTATGGCGCTGTTCACCAGACCTTGCCTAGGGTGTGGCTTGCTATAGCCCTATCCCCCTATTCAGGTCAATCCCAGCCACAATGCGTATTATTGATAATTCTTTATTCAAAGTGTTCGTTTCGATTAATTTTAGACATATTCCTAGTAGTATCGGTAGTATGATAGAAAATAAAAACAGTTAACTTTTTATTTTTTATTTTTTATTTACAAGTTTGTCCCAGCGGTTGCGCATTCCGTCCTCAATCCCCATCGTGACATCGTATATGCTGCAAATGGCCCGAGATAACAGCCAGCTGATAAGAGATTACCAGACGTTATCTCTTCCGATATGATAGATATGCAAGGAGGACAGCAGAGCAGATAACCGGACAGTAGCCGATGCTTGGCCGTGCGGGGAAAACGATACTAGTATGTGGGGATTTTCTCCGCCTGTACATTTCAACAACCGACGCAGTCACGCCATAAGAAGGATTCGATTGCTTCTTATAATGTCTGTCTCCCACGCCAACCGACGCATCCCGTCATATCAACCGTACCAGTGTCATGTCTGCCAAAGTCGCTTCACCCGACATGAGAATCTCAAGCGACATGCCAAGCTCCATTCCCGTTCCCCGGAGGAGGCCTCGCTGCCCTGTGACTTTTGTCAGACAACTTTCTCACGACCCGATCTGCGACATCGACATATGAAGAGAAAGCATCCGGAGTATGAGCAGAGGCGGGCAATGAAAAGGTCCCTGCGTGAGCCGATCATCTCTAGACCAGGCAGTGACGCGCGGAGACCGGAACGACATGATGTCTACCTGTCTTCTGAATCGTCACCAGACAGCCAAGATGGCTTTCACCCGCAGAATTCGGGCGATGAGTGTGAGCTAGAGGTGGATGGTGGAATTTGGAATGCGCCGTTGCCGCAGACGCAGCATCCACTCTTCCATGACCACGACGCAGGAAGCTCAACTAGCGGACCAGCCACAGCTGAAGTACATAGGGAACAAGTTGTAACAGGTCCCTCCGTCCAAGAGCCCTCAATAAACGAGTCAGATTGTATGGGCCGTATGGTGCAAGATGCGATAGAACTAGAACGGAACCTGCTCCTGGGAACGTCGTTTCTGAAGCCGACCTACGAACTTGACGACCAGTTGCAATCTGCCATTATACCACAGCCTTCTTCATTTGACACAAATACCCCCGGCGCCAGTTTAGCCAAGGCAGTCCTGATACATTTCCATCGAACTACCAGTTCGATTGGTCCCCATCACATTCACAAATTACACGCGGCTGTGACCTCTTCTTCAAACATATTTCGCACTTTCTCCCATTTCTGCACCAACCAACATTCGACGCCACACATATCCCTCTACACCTACTCCTCAGTATTCTTTCCCTCGGCTATCAGCACGGCGAAGACCCAAAGTCTGGCGATCAAGCCGGCTCAGGCGCAAACCTATCCGTCCGTTGCTTCCACCACGCCCGTGCTCTCACCACCGCTGAGGAAAGTAGAACCGATACCCCAAAGCAGAATACCACCCTCATCCAATCATATCTGCTCCTCCAAATATGCGCCATGATGTACCTCTGCGGCGACTCATCATCATCCGGCCTCAAGATGCACTCCAACATGATATCCCTCGCACGAGAAGGAGGTCTCATGCAGCCCATGCCCACCGCAACCTCCACGACCGAAGATCTAGAGGCGCTCTGGCATGAATTCATCAAAGCCGAGTCGCACAAGCGAACCTCCTTCGCCGTGCACCAGATCGACGCACTATGGTACCAATTCCTCTCCATCCCGCGCTCCATCTCGCATCTCGAAGTCAAACACGACCTCCCCTGCCCCGAAGCACAATGGACCGCACCCTCCGCCGCCGAATGGGCGCACCGCCATCTCGTCGCCAGAAACCCCGGACCCGCAGTCCCGTACCCGGACGCAGTGCGCCGGTTCCTGTCCTCCGACGCGCGTCCAGACTGCATCCCGCCATTCGACCCTACGGGGCCATCAACATCGCCCAGTTCCTCATCTCCAGCGCGCGCGAGTCTCTGGCTGGTCCACCATGACCGGCATGCTGAGCATGGACCGCCTCGACGCCCTGCGCTCGTCGCTCCTCTCCCTGGGCCCGTTTATCCGGCCGCAACCCGAGACCGCCAAGGCAATGCACGCCATCGCAACATGGGAGACCGCCATGATCGAGCTGCATCTGTGGTCGCCGGCGCACACGGGCGGCATTGTGGCGGCCAGTCTGGATGCCGTGGTGAGCCAGTCGACGTCTCTCGCGCCGTCGTATGAGTTCCTGTGGGAGGCCGACACGGCGAAAGCCATCCAGCCGCACGTGGACTGGTTCCTGCGCTATCTGGATACCACGCGCGAGCCGGACAGCGAGGCCCCGTGGGTGGCCGTGTATGCGTACAAGGCGTTTTTGATTGCCTGGCAGCTTGTGCGCGGCGGCATCCCGAATGCGATGCGCGTTGTTGGCATCGCGGATGGGGATGTGGAGGGGGCGTTGGGGTGGGTGAGGGAAGTCTTTCGCCGGAGAGAGAGGTGGATGCTGGGTAGGCTTGTGTTGTCTTGTTTGGATGGGTTGGGGAGTTGAGGTGGTCCTGAGTTCATTGTTGTGTACGCTACATACGGGTTAATACTATGGTTATTGTGATTACTGGCATACTATGACACATGTTATGATTATGGTAGAAAGGTGAATTATATTTACGCGACCTGGTACTGCAAGAGACTACATGGATTAGGAATGTCATGAAAATCAATACATCTCGTATCGCCAATTCAGCTGCACCATCTCCTCCGTGACACCACCGCGGACAACCTTCGCGATCTCCTCCGGATCGCCCGAGTCCAAGCGTTTATTCTCCCGCAAGACCAGCCACCGGTAGACAGTCATCGTCACTGCTAGTAGAACCGCACTCGCCATCAGCGTCCCGAAGGCGGCGTAGAAATGCGGCGGTGCGTAGTAAAGATACGACGCCCAGATATTGGAGGTTCCGCCAATAGCGTTCACCAGAGCAGAGGCAGCGGCGCGTTTGGAGACTGGGCGTGCCAGATGCAGGTTGATTGTCTTGTAGAGGAGGAGTTGCGGGCCGACAGAGGCAAAGGGCAGAATGACCATGGAGAAGTAGCGGGCACCGACATTCAGTGTTGCCATGGGGATGATGTACATGACGATGGCGATGGCCACGCAGAGCTGGATGATCGGGTACACGGTATTATTGCGGTCAGAGTAGTACATGAGGACGTAGTAGACTGCGCCGGCGAGGATGTAGGGCGGGGCAGTGAGGAGCAGAGTGATGGTGTTGTTGAAATTAAGGGACCCGACGAGCGTGGGAAAGTAGTTGGCGATGGAGCCTTGCGTTTGGGAGAGCATGTTTGCGAAGATGAGGAGCAGGAGTTTGGGGTCGGAGAGGGCTTTAGCGAAGCCGCGTAGTACGCTTTCGTTCTCTGTGCCTTCTGCTGCTCCGGCTTCCGACTCGATGCGCCATACGGCGAGGTCACGCTCGATTTGCGATAGGATGCGGCTGTTGTGTGGGAATTCAGGCATGATGCAGGAGCATATTACCCCCATTCCGACTGTTGCGCTGCCTTCGATGATGAAGAGCCATTCCCAACCAGCAATGTTGTGCGTGCCGTCGAGTTGCAGGATGGCTGCTGCGAAGAGCCCGCCGAAGGCGTTGCCAACTTGCTGTGCAATGTAGAGACCTGCAATGCGCTTCCCGAGTTCCTTCTTGGTGTACCATGCAGAGAGGTAGTAGATGGCACCGGGGAAGAAGACTGCCTCCGCCACTCCGAGAACGGCTCGAACAGCGAGCAACTGGCCGTATGTTTTGACTGCCGCGGTGGCAGCGGAGATACAGCCCCAGATAACGACAGCAACACAGATGTACATGCCAGGCCGGGATATCTTGGTTATGATAAGGTTGCTAGGAATCTGGAAGGGCAAGTAGCCGACGAAGAGGATGGAGACTGCGGTGGCAAACTGTTGGGTGGTCATGTTGAGATCTTCCATGATCCCCTGGAGCTTGGCTGCGGCCAAATTCTGGCGGTCGATGTAGTTCAAAATGTACAGGATCCCAATGGTGGGCAGTACAAAAAGGTCAACCTTTCGGACAATTTTCTTGTTGAGGGTGTTGATCTCGTCTCGGCTGAGATTGCGAAGGCTCTCTGGCATCCGGCTATATGCCGCGTCAGGGACATCGAGTTGCCCTTCTGCAGCGGAGATGTTGTCATCGCTATGCATTGATAGCGGCCTTTTTTGGTGTCCATGGCTGTAGCTATGGGTGCGATGGGTATCAAGGTCAACAAGTTTGTTCCTTGTTCGACACCAGCAGACTCCAATGTTATGGACCGGTTGCAGGCAGCTGGTCTCTGTTTGAGTGAGAATTGAATCTGAACGAGGGCTCCTCCCCTTCCCTTCGTAATAAAGGGCTCCGGAATGGCTGTTATCAGGGAGTCATGGTGCAGGCAATGGAGCGGCTATTGACCACGACGGCTGTTGGAGGAGCTGTGAGTCAAATGATTCGCGGAAGGTTCGCTAGTGGGGCGGCATAGATAAAGAAAGAGGGGAATAGCACCACAGATATCAGTCCAATTGGAAATCTTGCCAGGACAATTAGACCTTTGGTTCAAATCCGGGGTACATAAAACCGAGTGGGTCTTATCGGGAGGAGTGAAAAGCGTTGAGGAGCTCCTCCCGCCCGCTGTCGGAGATGACCCGAGCCCTATACTGCAAGATAAGCAAGTCAGCATCACTCATGGATAGACCACACTTATTAAAAGACACATAGCCACCAGCTGCTACTCATATTATCACTATCATCAGCTCCTCACAGATACACACAACACAATGCCAGCCCCAACAAAGACCTACCCCACGCCTCAGACGACCGAGATCGTCAACTCTCGTCTGAGGCTCCTGAACAAAATCAGGGCGGGAGAATACCCATTAATGACCTTCATGGCCATTCCCTCCGTTCGCATGGCCCAGATCGTTGCCTTAACGGGCGTCGACGGCATCATCATTGACTGCGAGCACGGCCACATTGGCGACGACTCAATGCACAACTCCGTCTCTGCCATTTCAGCGCTCGGAGTCTCGCCTATCATTCGCATCCGTGGCCCCGCCCACGACATTATCAAGCGCGCTCTAGACACAGGTGCACATGGCATTATGGTCCCGCAGATCAACAACGCCGAAGAAGCACAACAAATCGTCGCCTCCTCCAAGTTTCCTCCACAGGGTGTGCGTGGCCAAGGCTCAGCCTTCCCAGCCATCGGCCATGGCCTCACCACCCCAGAGTACATGATTTCCGCCAACGAGACAATCCTGACTATGATCCAAATAGAGACGCGTGAGGGCGTCGAAAACGTCGATGCCATCTGTGCCGTCCCGGGAGTGGACCTCGTCTTCATCGGACCGAATGACCTGGCACAGTCGCTTCTTGGATATGTGCCCGCCCGTGGAGATGAGCCGGAGTTTGTCGCTGCTGTCGATAAGATTATCGCGGCGGCGCGGAAACATGGAAAGTGGGCTGGCCGTATGGTTAACAACGGTACTATGGCCAAGGAGGCCCGAGAGCGATATGACACCGTCGCTATTACGGGCGATACCAAAGCCATTCAGAATTGGTACATTTCGGAGTTTGAGGTTGCTCGGTCGTGAGAGACTGGAGGTTATGTTGATATCGGTAATGAACCAGGGCTTATAGACTAGATAGCGAATCTAACATTATACCCATACCCATTTTAGGTCTATACGGTCGGCTTAGATATAAAATATTGCTTTTTGTGCATTAAACTGAGCTCTTGCTTCTTCGCACATAGCCACTTTTACTAGATAGAGGATACATTGTTTCACAAATCCTGAAGAATGCTAACTAGATTATCTTTGAACTCGCCGTTACCCCACCTCAAGACAGCTGAGAGGTGACGCAAGAAATTCAGCGACCCGTTTTTCGAAGTTGTCCTCCAGATCCCTATGCATACCATCTGGAAGTCTTCATTACGGCTTCAAAAATGAAGCCATAACTCATGAACTGGCCCTTCAGTAGTGATAGAAAAGGCTAGGTTTAACTTGATGTCCGGCGTAGCTTGACCGGATTCAGTACTGGCTTCCACGCAATCTTGGTTTTCTCTATTCAGATCCTGGCTATCCACAAGATCTGAAAGGCTTTTGAGTATCAGAAGGGCCGTTGAGCCACCTACTGCAGCTTGGTTCTGGGCTTGGTAGAGGTTCCCTCCGGTTGCACCGGCCTTTGCCTCGACTATCAGAAAGGGGAAACGAAGGCCCAAAGGGGTGACATGCGGATCACTAATTAGCGTAGAGGTATTTTGCATATCGAACAAGAGGCTTTGTGCGATGTCACGGCCCTTTGTGTGCTCAAGGGAATCTGCTAAGCTATCGTCCGAGAGGCCGACGCATATATCTGGCCGGGGATCCTTCAGCCTGAACACGGGAATAGTTGGCTCGATTGCACGTGAGGGATCCGGGGAAGGGTAAAGACTGTCAGTGGCGGCATTCTCCTGCAAAAGCTGATCTCGCTGGCTTCGTTTGCGTAGAATGGTAGGGCGAGGGTTGTGTACTGGAGGTTTTCAATCTGTACGCCAATCTAACCACGGAGTTAGGATATAAAAATGCCCAATCTCAACTAGCGACTGGGGGAAGTGCTAGCTTGCCTCGGTTACGAACAGCCTCAAATTCTACAGGTTTTAAATCGTTGATGGCTGCGTATAAAGCTTCTGTCCATTCGACTTCCCCGGATGGTTTTTTCTCAAGTTCCTTGGACTTCCTCCAGAGCCTTTCGGCAACTTGGTGCAGGTGATCATCGCCAGAGCTGGTTAAATTATGAAAAATACTTGTATCGACATAATAACTGATACTTGTGGGTATTTCGTCGCCCACGAAGATCTTGGCGCGCCGAAAATGGCCGCCGCGATATTGTGCATCACTGGGTCTAACTGGACTGCTGGGTCGCGACCTTTGGGAAGAGCGTGTGGAAGGAGGAGGTATTATTGGAATGTCTGATAAACTGTGCGCTCTCTCCTCCGAAGCCATCTGTAAAAGCGCACAAGGGGGAAGAGACGGGGTATTATTATTGTGCTCCTCGAGAGCATTACATGTTAGACGAGTGGTCGGGGAAGCCGGCTTATGTTGTTTTATAGCTGAAAATGTAGGTGAACAAGAGCGTGACCGCTTCATTTATGCCTGAATGATAATCTTTACGGCCTGAATGTAGGGCGAATGTGTGGCACTTTTGACTGGTAGCAAGGAGTGTGACATAGCAGGTAAAGAATATAAGATAAATAATTCAGGCTGGCCACGGTTATCTGCAAAGAGACATATCAATAAATACTAGTCCATATATCGTTAGATCGTACTTGGCATTAACCATCTTCTTGGCATAGTTTTCGCTCCATAGTATATACAACCAAAACAGGTACGCTTGGTATTCCTATAACTATAACAAAGTAATACGATAGATGGAGACCAAAGGCTAAAGAGCTGACGAACAGCAGAAACATAAATTGAAAGAATTTTATTGTATATTCTATGGAAACTCTCTATATGAATTGTCTCAAACCTGCGCAATGCATTCAATCTCAATAACAGTTCCGTCGCCTGGAGGCAGAGCCTGGAGACACGAGCGAGACGGCATCGGCTTTGGAAGGAAGTCGATGTACACCTCATTCATTGCAGCAAAGTCCTTCATATCGGCGAGGTAGACATTATACTTGACCACCTGCTCAAGCGATGATCCAGAAAGCTCGAGAACTTCTTTAAGATTCTGTAGAACAGTTCTCTGTGAACATCATGGGTGTGTTAGTTATTTGGTACAGACAGATAATAGAGAATTGTGGGACGGTAAAGACTCACTGTTGCTTGTTTAATCTCGCCGGTCGCTGTTTGGCCTGCGCAGAAGACGAGACCCGGGACTTTCACGGCGGGGCCTATGAGTTGAGTACCCGTTTGATTAGAAAACCGCATAGTATTTCGTGCAGGATTTACATACAATTATGAGGCTTGGGAGGAAACTTTTCGCTGGAGATGAGTTGCCGAGACATGTCTGCGGAGGATCACAAAGGAGAAACAGAGATTGTGTGTTGGACAATGGGAAATAGATTCAGATAATTTCCTTGTGACTTTTCGTATGCAATAGATGATACAGAAGCAAATGGTGGAAATCGCTGTTTTAAAATTCCCTATCGGTCCTCCCCTCTTGCTGTCCATCGCGATAACGCTGAGTGGATCTCCGCCGAAGCTCCTCCAGCCCTATCTGGGAGGAGCTCCTCCCGAACTATAACCCACGGAACCTAACGATTGCGCTCGCACTTAGCGACAGTTTAATTAATTAAACTTCAGGGAGGAGCTCGATCAGGTGGAGAATCTAGCTTATCGGACATGGAATCATCGGAAATGCTGCAGAGAGCACCTGCTATGTCAATCAAACACGATCGAGTGCACAACCCAATAGCGGGTCATCCGAACTCATGTTTGCGCTCCTCTTGCTTGACCGAGGAGCTCGTCTTTGTGCATTGTATGACTTCAGGTACCACATGTAGGCCTCCCTCATCATAGAACACTGAAGAAGTTATAAAACCTCAATTGTGACACCTCACCTAGTCATTCTATCCAGCATCTCACACAAATATCATTGAACATACAAACCAAGTCATGGCACCCGCAGCCCCTTTCAACCCACCATCCGCCGACCTCGCTGGCAAGCCTTTTGTTCCAGAATGGGTTCCACCTCCTGTCACCAAGGAAAAGCACAATTTTGCCGAGCTCAAGTCAATCGACCTTTCACTCCTAGACTCTGAGGATCCAGCTGTTGTCGATGACCTCGTCCAGCAGGTCAAAGTGGCTATCCGTGATGACGGCTTTTTGTTCCTCGAGAACTACGGAATTTCTTTAGAACAGGTAAGAGAGTCAAGTTGCGAAGAGAAGAGAAAAGACGCTGACTTTAGAACGTCCAATAGCTCCATCGCCAATTCGCCCTTGCACAATACCTATACAATAACATCAGCGAGGAGGACAAAGAGCGGCTCCTGTTCCATCCTGACAGCGGGAAATGGTCTGGCTACAAGCACCCCTATGGATTCAAGGTAAACGGACATTGGCCCTGGACTTGTAAGCTGCTCAACCGTATATTAACTCGTCACCCTTGTTCTGCAGCGTCACCGAGGAGCACCCGATGGCATTGAACAGTTCAACTGGTACAGGCCCGACTGGGAAGACATCAACCGCGTGCCCACCTGTCTGCACCCGTTCATGGACGAGATCGAGGCGTTCAGCAACTATCTCACCAAGTCCGTCAACCGAAGGCTCCTCACCGTCCTGTCGCGCGTCCTGGAGCTGCCAGACGACTATCTCTGGAATAATGTACAATCACACGGCAGCCCGACTGGCGAAGGCTACTTCCGTCATGCCCTCTTCCGCCCCGTCCAGAAACAAACTCAAGAAGCATCCAAGGGTCTTCGCATGCATGGCCACACAGACTTTGGCTTGACCACATTGCTATTCTCGGTTCCTATCTCATGTCTCCAGATTTGGGGCCGCGACGAACAATGGTACTATGTGCCCTACAAGCCTGGAGCGCTTGTTATTAACATCGGCGACACATTGGAGATTGTCTCGGGCGGACATTTCAAGGCTACTCGCCACCGTGTCTTCAGACCGCCCACAGATCAGTTGAACGAGGAGCGCCTGTCACTGGTATTGTTTAACAGCTCCATTGGAGATTTGCGTATGGCCCCTGCACAAGGTGAGTAAACGGCAACTCGAGGCAGACATCACTGGGGAAGAAGTCAGGCTAATGATTCTTGTCAGACTCGAAACTTATTCAACGAGAAGGTTGTGTCGAGGAGCAAGGCGTCTACAAGGAATTCAAGAAGCTCACGTCACAGGGCAAACTTGTGCCCACCAACCGCCAATGGCGCGAAATTCAAATCGCTACGTGCACAGACCCTACAGATACAGTGAATAACAGAGTTGGTGCGCATCAAGTCGTCATTGATGGCAAGGTCATGCATCAGCGGGAGTACATGGGTGTCAAGGTTGTTCTGCCTGTATGAAGGGTTAAACAGGGGATGGGTGCGAGAATATACAATCTCACGCAGCAAAGTGAGCACTGATACAATTGTTTCTTAATTATGAAGTTGTATGCAATAAATGATTCCTATTTTAGCTTCAGCCTTTGATGGCTTTGTTTGTTTATTTTTGTCCAGGCATAGTTCTTAGATTTTTAGAGTACTATGACGATCAGAGACGCCTGATGGATATTTTCTATTTCTAGGTATTTTCGTAGCCTTCTGACACTACTACCTGAATGTATCGGTTTTCCTGGCTCTTGAATGGTCGGTTGCTCAAATTCGTACGAAACTGGTACGGAGTCAATTGAACCAGGTGATTTGGTATAGCTTGTATGCATTTGTCACCGTGTACATGTCCTCGGCGTGCTAGCAATAACGAGGCGTGTTCCTAATAGATGTTAGGGCTTGTAGTGCAATTACCACTCCAGGCTAACGACACACCATGGTACCTTTCTGGCACAATGCACTAGTCCATATTCAGGTTAGTGTACGAGGATTTAGCAGAGAAGAGAATTGTGTGGGGCAAATCGGGAATTTTGCAGGACGGAATGCGCCCACAAAGTTAAGTCTAACCTCCAAACCCCCACTCGGATCAATCGATTATCTGTCTATCAACCACAGATAATCATGGCCAAATCCAAAGCCGCCAAGCGCAAGCGCAATGCGCAAGTCGACCTTCCACAAAAAGCGCCAAAGGCCGCTACTACGCTGACACCGCCTCCTGATGGCGAGCCCAAGCACCTCAAAACGATTGTCCCCGACGAGGATCTCGAGATCACCATCGAGACGCTCACAGCTCTCGCACAATACCCAAGCCTCACCAAGTCGAAGGCATGCAGGGACCTGCGAGCTGCAGTCTATGACTTCCGCCAATCCTGCACCACGGGGGCCAACGCCGCTGGTACGCTGCTGCGTTGTCACTAATTGAGAGCAGCAGCTAATCGTTCGATAGAGGGCGCAAACTTGACAGCACGAATCACCGGTGCTCTGGCCGACGAGAAATACATCGACGCCAAGATCCTGCTCGCCGAGATGAGAATTCGGGGCGAACAACCAAAGATCGGAGCCTTGTGTCGCTGGGTACGGGATCTGGACGTCGTCAGCGGTCTCTCAACGCAACCCGATGCAATCGATCGTGTCCCGTTGGAGCGCAGCGCAAAGGATATGGAACTTCTCGGTGTCCTTGATGCTATCTTGCGCGTCAGCACCCCGATCGACACCAACCCGAAGGCCGTCGACTCCACCTCTCCCATCGCCTTCCAGTCCATCTGGGACCTCCGCCCCTCGACGGCACCACTCCCCGTCTACGCCTCCGTCCTTGACAAATCTATTCTAGCTGACGCGCCCAAGTCACCATCCGCCCTCCGCGTTATCGAAACAACCCCCGGCCCACTCCGCAAACCCCCGAATCACCATCCCGCCATCCTCTACACTACCGCCCCGAACGCCGTCCCGCTAGCCCCCGTCGGCCCAACCATAACATACCACCCACATCCCTCCGTGCCAGGCCTTGGCCTGGCCCTAAATGTGCTCTCCACCGCCGAGTGCAAAGCAATCATCGCGGCCGGCGAATCCGTCAATTTCCTACCGGATGCGCCCCTTCGGGAAGATGGCGACGTGAGTATCCTTGCACACAATTTCTACTGGGTAGTCGACACCACTTTCCACGACATGCTCTGGGCGCGCATCTCCCGTTATGTACCGCAGTCTATCAACGGCCGCTTGGCTCGGGGTATCAATCGACGCTTCCGCGTATACCGGTACGTTCCCGGCGCCGAGTACCGGTGCCACATTGACGGAGCCTGGCCACCGTCCGGCATCCTCCCCGATGACACGTATGTGTACGACGCCTCGCCGGAGGACAAGAGACAGAGCTCTATGTATACATTCCTACTCTATCTAAACGATGAGTTCGAGGGCGGAGAGACGACTTTCTTCATGCCCGCTGCGCGGGAAGGAACCCTCAATGCGTACCCGGTGCGACCTGTCATGGGAGCCGTTGCGATTTTCCCGCACGGAGAGGCCAATGGGGCCTTGCTACATGAGGGAACCGGGGTAAGGAAGGGCGCGAAGTATATTATCCGGACTGACGTAGAGTATGATGTTAAACCTTGTGAAGAGTAATCATCGTTTCTATATAAGAATTGTGGGCACTTTGACAAGAGCTAGTCCTCATTAGGTATAGTGTTCTCAAGCCCTATTTTATCGACATCTTGGCATATCTCAACCAGCCACGAATATCCTCTTTATTTCCACTCGCAGTTGGATCGGCTCGAGTGCTTACTTGGATTAAGCGACTTGATTACTTGGCCAACTAAAAGTCTATATACTTGAGTCTACAGTGTGTTCTCTCATCCTGCCATTCTCGATGCTGCCGGTCTACCAGTTGACTAGTAAACTGTGTGTAGATAGTCAGATATATGTTTCCATTTATCGAGATAGAAATAAATAAATATGCAAGGGAATTGCGAATTGCTCTATTGTTCTATTGCTCGAACGATGCAGCGTATCATTCGCACCGGCCACGCTAGAAAGGCCATGGCCTAATAGACTCTTTCAAAGAGCCTAGATGATCACCCCATATTCTACTTTAACAGCAACTTTCTTGTTATCGTTGTGTCTCATCTCTATTCTTTGGTAGAAGCTTCCCATATAGACTATTGTTAGCTTGTAATCACCATCCACCCCGGCCTCTACGGTTTGAGGTCATGGGACAACACCTGATGTTTGTTTGACCTAAGAATTAATGGATCGAGATTTGATCCACAACAATGATATCTAATACTTCTCATAATGGATGTTTGAGAACCAATTGTTTCAATCATTTGGTTTCCAACTAAGGCAGATCTATGTTTTACCGATGCAGAAAACAGATTTCATGTTCTGGACCGAAGCTTGCCCCTTGCTAGACAGGGGCCTGGAAGAGATGGGTAATCAATTACTCCAAGATACACCGGTAAGAAGGAGGAGCAATATATAACTATCCAACCTTCATAACAAACGAACCCGTCACAGACTCCCCAAAAAGCGCCGCACTGTCCGGCACAGCCCGGTACTCCATGGAATCCGCAGCGGCGCCCCAATCCAAATCTGCCCCCTCAGTATCCCAACAAACACAGAACTGACCGTTCTCCAGAAACACCCTCAGACCTAAATCGCGCCCCTCAGCGAGCACACTGGGAAGCTCATAATAGACCTCTGGGGTCCATGCATTATTCATCACCTGGTTATATGTTATCGCTGTCCTGTTTCGAAAGATTCCGATGCGCAGGCAGCAGCGGTTGCCTTCGAAGAAGTCGAACCAGCATCGATCTTTTGGAAGGACTGTGCCGTAGGCCGGGTAGCTATGGAGGATTGCGCCGGCGAAACTCTTGTTTTCGACGATTGGTGCGGGGAATGCGAACCAGCCCGAGTGGATGTTGAGGGTTTCATGTTGACGTGCCCATCCATCGCTGTGAGTTGAGTCCATATGTTAAATAAAAAACCCGTGTGAACTTTTAGCAGCGGGGGGAGTGGGGGTATACTTGGAAGAAGTGTCCTCGGGGGCGGCTGGGCCGGAGGTAGCACTCTGAGGGTCGATATCGATTCCGTATCGAGCCTTCAGGGACTGGACTTTCTCAGGGCTTAAGCGCTTGCCTTCCCTAGTTTCGGGGTTCTCAGGGTATGGTGGGACAGTAGGACGGCCTCTGGTATCCGCCATGTTGTGTGATTAACAAGGCAGGATAAGTTAAAGGGTGGTTTGTAGTGGAGAATTTTGCTTTCCAGAAACGAGAACCCATGGGGACTTTATAGACGGGGATTCGGCGCTTGCAACCCTGCTTTGCCTTCTATGTTTCTCTGTCAAGATATCTGTCGCAAGGTAGATCAATACCAAAAGGATTCTCCTGCATCATGGAGTCAGGCTACCGGAGGGAGGAGCTATCGTTCCAGTGCCTCCGATTGGCAGAGCAAAAGATGAACAGGGTTCGCCTACAAGACTCACATCGGAGCGTTCGATAAAGAGGCGGGGTATGGTATTTATGCATGGATGAGAAGGCCTTACCATGCACTATTTGTAAGTAAGAGACCATTATATGGCTTTCTGCTTTCTCATATCTGATATCATTAGTGAAGTAGACTTCGGTATGAGTACATAATATCGGCCCAAAGTGTATTCTCTTTAAAAGTTATAATTTCTGTCTTGTAGAACTCTGTATAAAACACTAAGATCTCTCTAACCTTGACTTTTTATATACATTCTTGTGCGGATCTGCTTTGAAGACAATCCTACGCGGCGGCGAGAAATTCTCCCTAGCATTGGCTGCTCAATCCCAGCTGTATTTCAGTCACTCCCCACGAATTTCGACTTTCAACGCTTTCCACCGGCGCTCTAGTACAGACATGAGAGTGTTATGAATTTACCCAAACAACAACAATGATGAAGAAAGAGTCTTTCGAAAAGTATGTAAGCAGTGGCTAGCTGAGAACTTGCTCGTCACAGCTGAGGTTACCCCGCATAGCGCGTGTCCGGAGCATCATGGACGAAATCATTAGGCACACCTGCAGCGTCCGTGCTAGACCCTGGCAGAGTCCATTCAAACCCGAACCCCCTTCACTCACGCCGATGCCCTGGCCATCAACCTAGCCCATTGGAGGGTTCTCTTCTCGGCTAAGCCAGGTAGCAAGGTGGTCAAGAGTCGAGACCAAGTCACCCATTTCTGCCTTCAGGAACAAGGGCTGTATGTATCACGTGTACCCCAAGAGAAATAGCCATTAAGAAACTAAACTTTATGAGTAATATCCAGTATGTACATTTCAGGGATGCCTTGATATTGGTCGGTGGTAAGGAAGAGTTTAACCTCTTTTTGTGTTTCACCTGTGGTGGTGCGTGTGTTTATCGCTTTAATTAATAAGTGTATATTGTATAACTAGGCAGGCTAGTATAGTACTTAGATCCATTGGACCCTCATATAGTAGTCTGACGTTTGTTTATTATGATATATTGTTAGATATTATAGACTCCAGCAGTAGCCAGAAAGTTGAACCACTGATTATTAATAATCTAGAGTACACAGTGAGTAATATACTAGTCTTAAGCTATATACACTAGTGGATTAGCATCGGTTCCTGTCATCATGGCGTGCTTACTGTCATGCTTATCTTTTGGATGCATGCTTACCACACAAACTAATCGCACTGCCCATAACTGATGTTCTTATGTGTCACGGTTGTACAGGCCGATGAAAGACTGATAGGAATCGAAACAAAATACATTCATGGCGTTATTTACCAACATTTAAAAGACTACTACTATGGACCTGCTACTGTAGATATGTAGAAGAGTTCTGACAGACTCGATACGCGTCTTCCGATTGGCGTGCTCTCCCTAGCTGTCAGCCTGCATTTATAATGCATGCGGTCCGATTTCAAATCACCAATGGACCGATGACGCGAGACAGGCTATATTGTTCAATAGTAGACTTAAATATGAACCATGCGTCTTCTCACAGAAATTTTTCAGGACTATAAATGCTACGTTCTTACCTTCAGCCGTATCAGCCCCGCAGAGTCAGATCTATCCCATTTAATACATTACCTACCCGCAAATAAACCATGTCCCAATCCAAACCATCTATCATCATTGTCCCCGGCTCGTTCAGCCTCCCGGATTTCTATGATACGGTTGTCGATGGCGTAGCATCCAAAGGCTACGAGGTCAAGGCCATCCGTCTCCGCAGCACCGAGAAGCTCCAACCACCCGCAACCATGTACGACGATGCGGCCGCGATTGCCAGCGAGGTCGCGACACTGGTCGAGCAGGGAAAGGAGGTGATCTTGGTGGCTCACTCGTACGGCGGGGTGCCTACGAGCGAGAGCATTAAGGGACTAGCCAAGACAGAGGGTTCCGGGAAGATTGGCGGGGTCGTAAAGTTGGCGTATCTCACGGCGCTGGTGCCACCATTGGGCGCTGCCTCAGCGGATGTGCTGGCTGATATTCCGGATGAGAATCGTGTCGAATTACAGGTTGATGTTTGTGTCTCTTTCTCTTTCTCTGGCTCTATTTCACTCGCAACTTGGCTAGTGGGATGGTCTCTCTCACAGTGAAATGATTGTTAATGGATTTCTTAGGAAGAGGGATACATGTTCTTCGCTGATCACGCCGCGGCCGCTGAACTATGCTACTCGGACCTTCCGGCCGCTGAGGGTAAAGCGTGGATGGAGCGGTATCCCCGACACTCGGCTGTCAGCTTCACGAATCCTTTGAGCTATGCTGGGTATAAGGATGTACCTGTTGCGTATTTGCTCTGCGCGGATGATAAGGTGATTCCAGCTCAAGTGCAGAAACAGCAGATAGAGATAATTGAGAAAGAGACGGGTAGGAAGGTTGATGTGACGGTGATTCCAACGGGCCATATTCCTATCGCTAGTGCGCCTGAGAAGGTGGTAGATTGGATTGCAGGCCTGGCAACCCAGTATGAGAAGGCTGAATAGATAGCCGGTTTTTGAGAAAGAACCAAGACAAGTTAGATTATTTGTGGCCCAGAGCTTGTCTTGACTCATATCTCTTCAGTAGAGAAAGGATTCCAAAACAGAAGTCATCTTGAACGAGAATGTTCCGTACCTCAATATCTTGGTTGATGGAAATCATATCAATTGAAATGGTAGGATATTAACGCCATTAATAAATATACATACTTGGTTCTCTATGAATAATCGAAGAATGGTGTTCGCGGAGACGAATAGCTTAACCTACGACATTTCCAAATTCGCGCATTGATTATGCAAAACCGAGAGGGCATTGTCATATACTTACTCTATAACCCGTAAGATATGAAAAGAAAGAAACATGACAGAACACATCCAATGCTATAGTGGCTTAAATAACCAAGCCCAAAAGTCCCACCATTTACACCGAGTTGGAATTGTCAGCACAAGACCAAACACCCGAACCACCATTCGTGTTAAAAGAGTCTATAATCCCAACGACGGAGCCATATGTGCCAGCGACCATCAAAAATGTGCCGCAGACGACAATGAAGACGCTCCAACAGACGCCCAAGGTCCATCTATGCGATCGCTGTTCTCTGCCCCGGCTCCAATTATCATACAACCACATGCAACCGCTCGGCTGGAAACCTTGCAACGTGCCAAGTAACGCTCCAATAAAAGAGATGAGGCTATCGAAATTGGGAATCGCACTTGCAATGATATACGCGACGAGAGCAACACCGAGGACGCAGCCCAGCCAGGTACCCCAGTGCACAAGCGTATTTGCGACCAGGTGCTTCGACCCTCGTAGCATTCGGACAAAGAAGTGCTTGCTTGCAAGCTATTCAGGTGTGAGAACTTGTTGAAAATCGATGGAGGGAGGGGTTGTTATTTCCTTACATGCGTGCAGATAGTCGCACTGGCAAACAGTCCCGGGAGAGAAATGCCATAGGCAATCTGTTTGATTAGCTTTCCCGCGGAGCCAAGCGCAGGCGACGCGACATAGGATCCACAATAGTAGTACACGACTGTCCCAATCGTCACGTAGGTAACTGTGACAACGATTTGACACGCTGCTAAGGCCTTGGTGTAGTGGCGAGGCTCGCGCATCTCGGCTACGATCGGAAAGAAAAAGGGCACACCGGCGTAGGCGAAGATCAGTGTACAGATTGCTGATATTCCGTTGGTGAAGCTGGGGCTATTGACAATCTTATAGTCGGAAACCCAAGGGCCAGGCGGTGCAGAATGGGGACGATCCTCTACGCCGACCCCAATCGTGACGGTGAAGACTAAAAGTGTTAGAAATAATGTTATAGATCATGGGATGCCAAGGGGGACACTTACTGGCAATGAGAATACATGCCAGGCCACCCCATGCAAGGATAGTTACGCGGCTTAGAGTCCGGATAATTGCAAGGCAGAATACTCCAATCGCGGCAACAGCAACGAAAATAGCGGTGCAAGCTCCATGGGTTGAGATCGCATTCAGAGCGATTGAGATACCAAGTATACCAGAAGCAGCAACAAAAGTTAGATCTATAAACATAATCCATTAGCGTTATCATCACGATTCCCACAGATGGTTAACTCACAAAGGATAAATCCGGCTCCGAGGACCTCACGTCCGACAGGGCCAAACATGAGCCCAGCCGCGTCGTCAATGCCATACACTTCACGATGGTTGAGCTTAAAGCTGCCGACCATATAACTGCACCAGCTGTTGATAATGGCTATGGCCACAAGACAAAGCACTCCAGGGACCAGGCCCAACGTATCAAATGCAGCTGGGATAGAGAGTACACCCAAGCCGATCTGGGTTTTCATCATAAGAACTGACGTTCCTACCCATCCTAGCTAAGAATTATCAGTTTCATTGAGAGTAAGAACCTGTAGGTTTGGATATACATTTCGATAATTAGGACCATCACCTTCAATCACCCCGAATACGGCATCCTCGGTCGCAGCTGACTTAAGATCCCCTTCGCCAACCTGAGAAGGCATATTGGCTGGAATTTCAGGATCTTCTTTCCTCCCGTGTATATGTCCCATAGCGTTGAAAATCTCAAATGAGACAGAAAGCGACAAAAGCAGACACGTTGAGACAATATTTTTGTATTTCGTTTGTTATATTCAACTTTCTTCCCTCCGCAACCCCAGCTTCCCCAAGGTGGAGATTCAAGATTAGCTATTTTCATCATGTAAAAGAAATAACTACTGATAAGGTGGACCATTTTCCAAGCCCAGGAAGTCACTCGTGGAGTAGTGGAGTAAAGTTATAAACAAATGCCGATTTCAAGACTGGCACGTTCCGTGATCGGACCGGAGGCCATGCCGGAGGCCCCATTTCGAGCGATATAGGGCTCAGTGGAGCACGGGGCAACTGTCCGAATTAGGGTTAGCTCATATATATCACTCTGCCTGCCTAAATAGATATCGTTACTGGCATAATTAAGCCTTATTATATGACGACTAAAGAGAATGAACCTGTATACGGGGCTCTATAGCACTGTTCTAGAATCATTGTCTTATGCCCTGCGAGTCCTAGACCACCAGCCTGCTTTGAGTACTGAATAAGCCGCTCAACTAAGGTTTCTAGATAGGCAAGTCGTAGGCAAGTACCTGTATCTGGAATAAGCCCTATATCTATAATCTTAGCTTAGAACGTCGACACTGCGCGGTGATTGTATTGATACCTGTATCTGAAGCCATTGTCGATCATCATTGGTATGGATGCCTCTCCGTGTGCTGCGAGGTAAGACCTCTAACCACCTTATGCTTCGTATTCTCACCTTCTTTCCTTCGTATCGACCAGATTCCTAATGTTTCTTCTGCCTACCGACCAAGACGGCGGTACGTGTTGCCCTATACTCTCCAGCAAGAGCCGTAAAGCGGCCCTATCGATTTCGCCATTTTCCTGTGCCGCTTTTTCATTGACCTTGGGCATATAGTCGTCCGGGTCCGAGGCATGGCACCCCATATACCGATCGTGCAGAAGGCCGATATTAATGGTCGTTTCCTTCTCAAACGGCAACTCACCATCAGAATACGACCAGCACGTTGATCCCATGCGAAAATGCTGAAGAAGAGGCAAGCCTGTTCGCAAGGCGTCGAACAGATCATTCCACAGCTTCTCGCCTGAACGGTAGTAGTCGCTTGGTTCAGGACAACCCGGACACCGCCATTCACCCTCTTGTGTAATACCGAAATCGTACAAAATAATACAATCATCCAAATACAATTCCGTTAGAGTCAGGGCATGCGAAAGAATCCACTCCACCTGTGAGTTCAGCCCGAAGGCAAAATTGCCCAGTGCGAGGGTCTTCAGCCTTGGGAAGCGAATCCCATGAAAGTAAACCTTGGGGAAGAACGACCATTTCTGGTCACAGTGGAGCGTCAGGTGCTCCAATGATCCCATGGTGGGATTCAGCCAGTTGGATGACATTTCTTCGAAGAATTCGTGGGCCTCATGGTATTGGATCTCATCTGCTGGGCTTTCTACGAGTTCTACAAGACGTTCGGTAACTATGTTCAGCCGGAGCGATTGGACACTGCCCAACGCATTAGTCATCATTGTCTTCGTCATTTGGACAGACGTAACAAATGTGGTCAAACCGTAGAACAGTGCTTTGCACGTTCGGGAAGCGTTTGAGCTGCATGACGGCATATTTGACTGTCTCGGTGAGGATGCATTTATAACCCCAGAAGACCTTGTACGGTTAGTTCTCTTGCCTGAGACTCTTGAAAGGCTATGTGGGGTAGTCAACCTACAAGGTATTCGTAGCATGTATGGATATAAATTTTCCTTACCAGCGTCTCCAGTGTGGCGTCCCTTGAGATGTTGCGAAGTCGTTCATAGTTTTGTTCGTTGGGAAACAGGCGCACAACGCGGAAGAGTTCCGGTGAGGCGAGTTGCGCCAGCGTGCGACACGTCCGGCGCAGACATTTTAAAGTCGATTGATCGACGTATGAGATAACTTGCGCGAGAAGCTCAAGGGGTAGGTGAAAAAGGTGTGGCATTGTGAAGTCGCAGGTAGGCCACGCAACTGGTAAGGTGATGCTGGCAAGTAGACGCGGAGCTGTCTGTTTTTAGCGTATTTAATGCAAACAGATTTAAATCTTTCAGTCCTTGACACTTTTTTTCTTTACTTTTCTTTTAATGTTTTTTTTTTTTTTTCTTTTTTTTTTGTTTTCGTGCGCAAAACTTCGAAGAATGGCCAAAAGCTTTCAATGCTTACTTCGAAATACAACTCAACTACTGTTTATTGTATCCGTCTTGCATTAAAGACATTTGATCCCTTCCATCCTAGGGCAAAGCCCAGCTAGCACTGTCTAATCAACGCGGGGCTCCCTTGTAGCAAGTCCGGAGCCAGGAACGTTACATCGGCCAGTACTAGTAGCAGGGGTACTGGGCATTCTACATCTCACATGAATTTCAAAACTACAAAACATTTGGGAAGGTCAGCCGAAATTGATTTGTTTTGGTGGCATCCTAGTATCATGTGTTCGCCAACATAGCATCCAGTCAAGTTTTAAAGCTTGGCCTTCTTTGCAGTCTTAACACTGATCCACAACTTCTTCTATCCTGTCGTTACTATGGACATATTAATGTACTTAATATGTCATTACTGAGACACTAAGGGCACAAAAGTACCGAGTTACCTGCTCCACGGGTAGCAGGCGTGCATCCTTACTTAACTGGATATTATATTCGATGCAGACTAGATTATAGATTCATTGGTCCACTCGCTGGGTGCGGCGGCGCGCAAGATAATGCAGAGCACCGTTCACTGGATATAGAAATAACAGAACACCCCCCAGGATAATAATCAGATCACTGTTCCGCTTCCGACAGGTTGCTTTCTCGAGTTCTTGATAGTAATAGCAGATAAAATAGTATGCCAGTGGAATAGTTGCAGCACAGATACCGGATCTAATATTGGTATTATTGTTTCAATTTGCATTTTCTTTCACAAGTCAAAAAGCTATACCAGGACTTACATGAGCAGCATTAGGTCGGAAAGTCGAATCAAATACCCAAGAAAAGGCGCTTGGTAAGCCTTTGGTGGAACTGGAGCCAAAGATGACGGGCCTTTTGCTAGCCTGGTTGACTTCATGGTGCACCGAATGTACGAAAGGGTTCGGAGAAGAGAATTTCGCAGCTAATGTAGAAGGTTGGAGCCCAGCAGGACAGGGTATTTAAAAGGGTCTTGTTTTTGTGCTCCACTACGCCTAGCCCAGAAGAAGTGGGCCAGTAAAGGTACCTAAGACTAGCGTGGCATTCCTATCCATGGATGCCTGGGGATCATTGGCCTCTCATATTAGCTATGGGTCCTATTGTCAAGGATTCTTGTTGCAATGGAACGAACGAACAAGATGGCGACCCGAAGTGGTCTAATTTATGGTCATGAGGACTATTAAATTGTTTCGGTCGACTGTCGAGGATCCCTGGAATCCTAAAATATCAAATATCAGGCCTTTTGAGATCCTTGAATTGCTGACTTGCGCAGTGCGTATTCCAGATTGATAATATAGTATATCTGCGAGGATAACCGCTTTTAGATTGTATTCCTAGCAAGTACCAAGGATCTACGGTATAAAAGATTAGGTTATTAATCCCCTAGGAACTCCCTGGAGACCAAACGAGCATTATAGGTCTGTCAATATGGTAGCATTGTAGGTCGGTCCAAGGGATGTTGGCGCAGGTATAAATCCCAAGGTTACGCATGCCTACCTCAAAGGAGCCCATCACTTTATTCTTCTTAGTATTTAAAATCAATTGAGGACTATAGTTAGTCTAAACCTATATAGGTTAAGCAGCTAGCATAAATTATAGAACCTTTTACCTATTTAGGTCTAGTAACGGTGGTTTCGGGCTTTCCGGGTCGGGTTAACAAAAGTCCTGGTGCGTTCGGGGCGGGACCCAGGCCCTTGAACCCGAACCCGACCCGATGCCAACTCCAAGTATGTTCTACATTCTAGCCTTGATAAAAACCGAGTTTCCTTTGCACATATATGTACAATTTGGACTCTGTTACGTTTATCTGGAGCAGAGTTCACCCCTGCCTCGTCTCGTTTCGCGCGCGGCTCCTCGCGACCTTCAATTCAAGCCTGTGAATCACACACCGAGGGTCAACTTGAAGTGAAGAACCATCCGTTGCAAGTAGAATATAGGGACCTGTGAAAACGACGCTGAAAATGACAACCTCTGGCGCCAGAAACGGCCGCCTTTCCACCCGTAACTTTAGGACGGGCGAGCCACTGCTTGACCGCCCGTCCCGTTCTGCCCTCTATTAGGTTCTTAATGACACACCTATCGTTCATAATAGAAATACCGTGCCCTGACACCGGCGTACTGTTTGCCTATAATTTTCCATACCACTCGGTCATAATGACCAGGAACTCCAGCGGCCAGTCGAAAGTGTTCAGCGTGACCAAGAAGTCATTGCCACAGAAAAGAGATCGACGCAAAATGTTCCTAGAAAAAAAGTCGCATGAGTACAGCAATCAATGCGGCGCAGATGTATGCCTAGGCATTCAAATTCGAGAGTCAGGGAAAGTATTCGTTTTTTCCGCGGACACCTCAGGACTTTGGTCCTTCATTGGTCCTCATCCACTACCTAAGGGCAACCTAGGAACTATACGACTCCACCGACCCTAGCTGGTTCAACTCTTTGTATGATCGGAGGGATTGGAATATGGAATGTGAGAATGCTATGATTCAGATCGCTCAAATAAAATCTAACTGCAGATCTAACTCGCTGATGTTACCAAGACCAATCCAAACGCTGAAATGTCTAATACCCAATCTCTTGAAACCGACCACTCCGAGTCATCAGGGGCTTTGCTATATATTTTTAAGCATTCATCATCTCAATTTCTGATGAAGCCTGCGACATCTTTGACGAAACGACTCCATGACGCGGCTTCGCCGAGAGTTCCCCCCACCGCCGGCCCATGGCAACTGCTGGGTGAGCGGCGGTCATACAAATGCACGCAATGGCAATCATAGTGCTCTCAAGAATCATCAGGCAATTTCATCATTAGCCAGATCACTGTTAAATCCACCTTTCAGCTCCGCAACACGGAAGATCGAGCGAATGAAGATCGTTAAAACGGCAATGGCAAGACCTTTGATTGGGTTAGCATAGGCTGATAAATGCGGATTACTTAGTGACACTTACCCAGAAGGAACATCTTCCATTTCCAACCACTGCGAACAGATGCTGTAGACGCATTCTTCATGTCTTCTGAGCTGCGGCGCACTCGCAGGGCGAATTCCGAAGCGAGCGCGATGAATAGCGTCAACGAGGCGACCTGGAAAGCCAATCCTGCAATCATGATATTGACACCGGTATCGCCGAGGCTTTTTTGGTCTGAGTCGGCGATGGAGGTAATGGCGCCGCCGGCTGCTTGTAGGACTAGAGCGATGATATCGCAAGTGACGAAGAGGATGGTGTATGTACGCGGGCGAATCCTGGAGATATCCTCCCCGTACACGATGACAATTCTTCCCAGGCAGATGTAAATGGCGGCGGTGAAGAAGGCCGGGGCAATCGTGAGACAAATGAGGTATCTAAAAGTCAAGCTTCTAATTAGCTTGCTTTATTCAGAGGTATGTCTCAAAGGGTCACGTACAGAAGGAATGCATTAAAGTCGAATGGGTTGCTGTGCATCATGACTCGTCCGATGTATCCCAGTATTTCAAGAATGAGCCCCGCGGTCATGGCCCCCATGTATGTCCATGTTCGGAACCATGTTCCTAGGGCGATTTGTGCGGCGAGGAGAAGGCCGAAGATGACGAGGAAGAGGACATTTGCCGGGATGTTAGGCTGGTAATTGATATAGGCCAAGTCAATTGGGCAAGTTGCCAAGGTGCAGTCGTCCATGTTTATTTCCGACATTTTTCAGTGTTGATATTTCTACTCTTTCTCTCTTTTTTTCTTCTAGTTCTTTTGTGGGATAGTGAGGAGAAGAGGTAGAATGCGAGTCTAGATGGATTGAGGTTGATATTCCCCTCCTCATAGCATTGAATACACACACTCTTTATACCATCTGACAAAATAAAGAGGCCTGAAAGTCAGCCACGAGGCTATGCTATCTCCGATCCTACGTCGGACTGTCATTGGCGCGTGTATACTTCGGGCCGTGCCAAGACACGGAGTCTAGGCCAACTCCGAGTCCGCGGACTAGGAGGGGAATTGCCTGGGGGCCGGTCCGCGGACTCTTAAGGCCTCCTGTTCCTATCCAGCCTCCATCTTGGCCCCAATTCTTTAAATGCTGCCTACTATGTCCGAGCCGACCAGTCTAGGCCGAGTCAGGACCTGCGAGAACTGTGTGCGTGCTAAAATTAGGTGCTCGCGCACCTCTACCCAAAGCTGCGATCGGTATGCAACATCCCGCTTCTCCTTCTACTTCTCTTCTCTTCTACTTAGCAACGTAAACCTAACACGCTTTGAAGGTGTCTCCGTCTGAACAGAGATTGTTATTTCCGTGCAACAAAAGCTCGTCCTCCTAAGAAGAGGAAGACGTATATCTGCCCACTCCTCGTATCGATACGACCTGTCAAGCTAACCGCATCTAATCTAGGCGAATAAGTGCACTCGAGGACAAGGTGGATCAAATATTAGGCCAGATCAATCAGCCTCACTCAGGTCCACAACAGGCACCACTGCCACTGCCACTGTCCCCGAAAAGGGAAAGTTGTGCTCCCACTCCTCGACATCCGTGCGATGTGATCGGGAACGGGCTGATCACCCACGAAGAGGCAAATCGTTTGATAGAGAGCTTTCGTGATGCCATAACGTATTTCCCATTTGTACAGCTGCCGAGAAACGCCACTGTCGAGGATCTCAGATCGGAGAGACCCTTCCTCTTACTCTCTATTCTTTTGGTCTCCTCGTTTCGAAATGTCCCGCTGCACCTGGCCCTCGAGGACGTTTCGACGTCTTACCTTGGGGGGCAAGTCTTGCAAGGCAATCGCCAACAACCCTTTGACATACTACAGGGTTTGCTGGTTACTATAGCTGGGTATGTTCTAGACACAATTTCTCTCTTCATTAGATTCACAAAAGCTAACACGGAAGATAGAACGAAGAAAAAACTCCATATAGTGCGGTTTTCTGGATATCTGCACCTCGCACAAAGTATAATCAACGATTGCAGACTGGATTACCCAGCCAAGCTGCGAGGAGTAAGACAAAGAATTGACGTCATGTCGGACACGGATCCTCCGACAGAATCGATTTCCCTGCGAAACGAGGAAATGCGAGCTTTGGTTGGATATTTTCTCCTTGACACGTGGTAAGTTCGATTTACCACCTGTACAGCCCGGTCTAGACCTGAAAAGACTATGTCTTGCTTACTTTCTTTTCACATGACTAGTCACTCCATAGTACTACAGCGGACAGGAACAATGCCTTGGTCACCCTTCATAGAATCATGCGCTGCAAAGTTGTCGCAGGAATGCGAATTCTCAACCGATCGATACCTGTTAAGCCAGGTTCAAGTACAACACATGCTTGTACGAATCGATTCCCTAGTTGCACGGGGATTCGGTGAGAATCAGGCTCCTGCGGACACAGAAGTTATGATTAGTTCTCTTCAGAGCGATTTTGAAGATTGCAAAGCCCGGCTTCCTGTCCCTATTGACCATGATGGTGAGTTGACCAAGCCTTATCCGTACTGCAGATCGAAGTTGTAACACTTGATTAGTATTTCAAGGCATTCCGTCCCACGCCTTCGAAATCCATCTCTATCAAACTATCTTTTTCGATGTATACCCATCTTCCGCCGCGTCATTCGACCAATCCACGGCCCTCCTGCGAATCGATGCCCTTTGTCACGGACTAGCGGCTGCAAAACAATTTATGAGCTTTTACTTCAGTCTACCACCTGGTATTGAAAAGAGATTTAGTTACACCCAATGGACAATGACCGGGTTCAGCGTTGCAGCTTCATGCAAACTTGTTCTCGCATCGTTGGAGCCATCCGTTCGAGATCACGATCAAGTCCGAGGGTTGCGAGAGACATTGGATATGCGGCATGAAATCCAGAAATCTGTCAAGCGCATGAATACGCTGGATCAGGAGTGTAAAGGTGGGAAGTGGGATCAACATGAGATGTTCTTCTACCAAGGTTGGCTGCGGTTCCTTTCTGAATGGTTTGAAGAGAAATATCGTCTTGCGCAGTCTGATAGTGCTGGAGAGAATAATGGTGAACTGGGAGTCTTCACCACTGGAATCTCGGAAAATAATATCTATGAAGAGCCTCAGCCTGATCCTGGTTTTCCTTGGGTGGATCTTCAGGACGTTACGATTGAGCAGATGTTGAATGTGTGGTTAGAGCCAATGAATATGCCACACTACTTTTAAAATGTACAAATTCGCCTTGATAGTTTCAGTGACGAATGCATACCCCTCTCTGCTTTCTTTTATTTGAATTGCCATTTGATACTAGTAGGTCTAACCAAGTACTCAAATTGAACACGGCCTGTTAGGCGGTGGATCCAACCAACCCCGTAGACTAAAGACCAAATAAAAGCTTTCATCACATCAGTACATATACTTACTTTGATGAGGTGGTTATTATGCAACACCAATACAGAGAACTGAGAAGAATTTATGAACGGAAAAGAGCCTTAGTGGGGGCAACGGATACGTTTTATGTACTTCTTGTGAAATGGAGCATAAATATAAATAGTATGAAGAGCTTAAGCAAGCCAGCAACAGCTAGAATTCGTAGTTTGTGTCTACATAGCGGTTGCTCTCAGCTCCGTATCTTGCGAACAGGACCGCATCATAAGCGAAAGCAGTGGGTGCGCTGGAAGGCACGGATAGTAATTCACAGGTCCCAATATTGACACAATCTACTGCTTGTTGAGGAAACGATGGTTTCTTCGTGTCTATCCAGCCTGAGGCCGTTGAATCCGTCCGCACCATCTACTCGTCTTCATCCTACCACTGGCAAGAGACCATGGAAATTTGCTTTACCACACTCGATTTCGCTGCGTGTTTTCCACCTCTGCAACCATGTCCAAGACGTCAAAAGACGACCAGAAACTGCGTCACTTGTACGTTCCCATTGAGGCTGTGGAGAAATTGGAAAGATACAGACCAGGAGGCTACCACCCTATAGCAATTAGAGATCGGCTTCACAACCGCTATCTGGTAGTCCAAAAGCTCGGCTATGGCTCGTACTAAACAATTTGGCTGGCTCAAGACGAAGTGTCAAACAAATATGTCGCTATCAAGGTCTGTACAGCAGACTCAAATCCGCACGAATCGAACGTGCTTTCTGATCCTTCCAACTCGCAACGAGTCTTGGGCAATAGTCTGGGGAAAGCTATGATACCTTTCATCTTGGACACTTTCGAGATCCAAAGTCCAAATGGCACCCATGCATGCTACGTGACTCTCCCAGGGAAGATGAGTCTTTCCGATGTGAAAGATGGATCATATATTCGCCTTTTTAAGTTAGAATTTGCGCGGGCATTGGCAGCACAGCTTGCAGTTGCAGTTGAGTACGTACATTCACAAGGCTTTGCTCATGGTGGCCTTCACTACGGCAATGTTCTCATTCAGCTACCCTCTGGATTCGATTATGGACAGTATGGCCAGCCAGCGACTGTGGCTATCACTCGTTTTGACGGCAAAGAGCTCCCTTCATGTGTCCCTTCCCACGGCATTTTACCAATCTGGCTTGGGGAAGCAAGTGAGAAACTAAGACTTTCTGAAGCTAAGATCCTGCTCTCCGATTTCGGTGAGGCGTTCGCTCCTGCAAGAGAAAAGAAATTTGAGTCGCACACTCCTCTTGTAAGCCGGGCCCCCAAGGCTCGTTTGGAATCAGCCAACCCGCTTTCTTTTCCCTCGGATATTTGGTCGCTTGCCTGCTCAATCTGGGATATTATCGGCCAAAACCCATTGTTTGAAGGTTTTCTGGCGACCGAGGACGATATAACCTGCGAGCATGTCGGTGCACTTGGGATTCTGCCCCCTGACTGGTGGAACAAATGGGAGGTGCGTCGAAATAAGTTCAGCGAAGATGCGAAGCCGATAAATCGACGGTCGTATCGATCATGGGAGGACCGTCTCGAGGACAGTGTGCAGCAGCCTCGACAAGCGGAAAGAATGCCGCAAGGTGGCGAGGAACATGGTGCTCTGTACTAGCTGGAAGCCTAGTTAAATATTGATACATAAATCATGTCAAGTACATGTTAAATCCAGCCGCAGTAAAAGATCGAGCATAGATCATCGTCTCATGAAAAACCTCTTGATTACTCTTTGTTTACCACCTGTGATAAGTCCATGGGCCAATTTCATCTGCTTGAAAGGATAATTGTAGATAGTCAAGGGAAGAGAGGCTTTGGCTGACGCGTGCTGGTTTTGTTTCTTTGATAGGGAATTCATTGCTATTCCCCTTCCTGTAAGAGCATTAGAGGAAGATATGGGATGTGAGTGATCTGGACCCCACGAGTTGTGGCCGAGCTCTGGACGCTTTTTTATCAAGGTTGAGGTGTCTTGGACCTTTCGTAGTCGTTTCTATATATAGGTAAGGTTGTTTATACTGATCAGCGTGGACGGATGCTCTGGCCCCAGCACTTGCTTGCGGAGCTCTACTACCTGTATTTCTAGGTTTTCTGCTTCCTTCCATCGTCCCTGTATGCGGTATATTGATACCAGGTTATTTATACTGGTTAGAGTAGATGGATGCTCTAGCCCCAGTATTTGTTTGCGGAGCTTTATCATCTGTATTCCCAGATCTTTAGCTTCTTTCCACTGTCCCTGTTTTTGATATATTAATACCAGATTATTTATATTGGTCAGGGTAGATGGATGCTCTGGCCCTAGTATTTGCTTGCGGAGCTCTATTACCTGTATCTTCAGCTTTTCTGCTTCCTTCCATTGTCTCTGCGTGCGATATATTGATGCCAGGTTGTTCATACTGGTTAGAGTAGATGGATGCTTTGGCCCTAGCACTTTCTTGCGGACCTCTATTATCTGTAGCTCCAGCTCTTCTGCTTCTTCCCGTCGTCCCTGATTCTAATATATTAATGCCAGGTTGCTTATGCTGCCTAGAGTGTCTGGATGCTCTGGTCCTAGTACTTTCTTGCGGAGCTCTATTACTTCTATTCCCAACTCTTCTGCTTCCTTCTATTGTCCCTGATTCCGGTATATTGATGACAGGTTATTCCCGTTGCTTAGAGTATCTGGATGCTCTGGCCCTAGCACTTGCTTTTGAAGTTTTATTATCTGTATCTCTAGATTTTCTGCTTTCTTCCATTGTCCCTGATTCCTGTATATTAATATTAGGTTGTTCATACTGCTCAGAGTATCTGGATTCTCTGGCCCTAGTACTTGTTTGCGGAGTTCTATTATCTGTATCGCAAGCCTTTCTGCTTTGTTCTATCGTCCCTGATTCCGGTATATTAAAGCCAGGTTATTCACGCTGCTCAGAGTATCTGGATGTTTTGGCCCCAGCACTCGCTTGCAGAGCTCTATCTCTCGTATTCCCAGCTCTTCTGCTTTCTTCCATCTTCCGTCACTATATAGACACCTCCCAATATTTACAATTAAGTTAATATATCTCCTCTGCTTTTTCTGAAAGTCAGCTTCTGCTAATAGTGAAAGAGTATGTGGTAGATATCCCCGCCATACCTTCCGATTGGTATAGACATTGTTTGGGAAAACCTTATTTAATCGATCTGCAGCTTTCAATATTTGCAGGCTAAACCGTTGGTTCTTTCTCATCTAGTTCCGTGTTGCAAGATGGACTAGTCGGTGTAGATGTAGAGAACGATCCCCGCTATCTTCGCTAATAAAGAAGAAAGCCTTGAGGAGGCCGACAGCATCAATTCCTTTCTTCGTTGAATCTGGCTGGGGAAGTAGCGATCGTGGAATATCATGAGGATTGATGCACGCTATCAATGATAGATAGTCAGCCGCGAGTTTATTTGATCGTTGTATTTGTTGAAAGGATATAAACCAGGTTAAAGCCACAGGGTTCTGGGTGTCTTTGTAGCGCCTTTTATTCCCAAAGTCTTCGCTTAATAATTCAATCACATCTGACTCTTCATCTTGTAAAACCTTAATATAGTCAGAGAGGCTAATACTATTTTCATTGATATACGCGGCCGCCTGGGTAATCGCCAATGGGAGAAAGACCAGCCGCTCAAGAAGGACAATGGCTGTACTATAATCATAAAGTAAGGCTTTTTTAATTAATGAGTTTTGTAAGATTTTGACAGCAGTCTCTGTGTCCGGCTCAGTGATTGTTATTATATGAGAAGACGCCAGTTTCATAGTTACCTTCCGGCTGCGCGTGGTAAAGAGAATATGACCCTGGTTACTTTGAGGAAGAAAGTCCCTCAGTACCGGGTGATTAGTGTTGTCTTTGCTCCATATCTCTATATTATCTGCGCTATTAAAAATAAGAAGCCACTTCCCAGTATACTTTTGGCTGAGATAAGCTTTGACTCTTTCTTTTACCTCTGCAGGCTTTATGTCCGCTATTCCTAGCTTTAAGGCGATGTTTATATAGGCTTGTTCCACACTCTTATAGCTGGTATATGTGATCCAGAAAATTGAGCACTCAGGGTCTCGATCTCGCATGCGGTATATTAGTTCAAGTGTAATCTGGGTTTTTCTAACTCCACCCAGTCCGCAGAGAGCAATTTTGTCAGGTCTATTCTTTTGTATAATCAATTCTTCAGTTCTAGTAATCTCTTCTTCGCGGCCTATAAATTGCGGGTTCCTTCTAAAGGGGACTACCTGAACCGGTTCCCTTGACTTATGTAGTTTCTTTTGACAGGATATGGGAATTACTGACAGGAGAGCCTTCGCGTAAGCAGCAGTAGTAAGGGCAGTATAGCCTTGCCACTCTTTATTTTTGTGGGAATTACAATAGTTACAGATATCTCGAATGGCAAGTGATGGGAGTTCGTCTACAATACTGGCAGTCTCTATTTCAAAACAAAGTATATTGAGATCCTGAGTAATGGAATCTCGAGTCTTAGCGTCTTTAATAATCTGATCTTCGGAAGCGATCAATCCATAATGGAAATAAGGACTATTAGTTAATCGCACGGAACGGTTCACTAACTGAGTCTGATCATATGTTGAATAGGTGTGTTCGCTATCTTTATGATTGTATGTTGGTCGGAATAGCCAATCGTCTTTCGGCCGTGAAAAGTGTTCTCGCGTCTCTTTACATTTGTGCTTTATATTAACCAAGAGTTTGCTAACCAGCCTTTTTCTTGTTATATAATCACTCTCTAATTGAGACACAGCTTTTAATAACACTGGAGCAGGTTTATTAAGCAATCCGGTATGCTGGAATCGTCCGTCACGAAGTGTCTTGCCGTAGTTATATTGGATAATACCACTTGAAGTGGCAGTTGGCTTGCTGATCACAACATTACTAAGGCGAATGTTAGTACTTTGGCTCGGGACTCCGCCTCTAATACCCACTATCAATCCAAACCGGAGACTCCGAAAGGTAGAGACTATATGTGATGCCATAGCTGTAGCGGATATCGTCCTATAGACACCTCTAGGCAGACAGGCTACCACTATATTGTGGCTGCTAACCTTCCCAAGTGTGTAGACATTGTGATCAGTTTCTGGCTGGGGGAGTGGAGGATGGACCTCGTCCAGCATGACCTTCGCGGCCGCCATTTCCAGCGGCAAGGCGCAGATCCATGCGACCGTATAATCATCACGTGTGAAGACCATTTTATATGTCATGCACAGTAGCCAGGTAAAACTTAACCGAGGAGGGATCTGGTAGTTTATAGAGAAAAAGGAGCATGTACTACAGTAGGTATTGGAATTGCACGATAGAACCCTTTATGGGCATGTCCAAATTCAAGGTTGGGAGGTGAGGGGTTGATCTGATACGTGTTCCAGTACTACGAGGCTGTCGCGGTTCAAAAGCCAATCATGATCTTGAGAACATGTAAAAATCAAAGGGAGGATGTGGTGCGTATCAACAGCATTCAAGCAATTACTCTAATTCCTGAGGACGACCTTCCAAGGTCCCATCAATAAGCTGGGACAGGTAAGTTGCTAACCATAATACGAATAACAAAGTAGAAGCTTGGAGTGCCGCCGTATAACTGTTTTGAGGGTTTTTGTGAGTATACCTGTTATGCCCTCTTCCGAATCGGAATAAATGCCTCCGACACCTTGAGACGCAGTTTATTGTAATTAGTCAGGAAATCTAGGGCATTGAGCGAATTAGACCGAACCCGTCAACTCGCGTTGCCTATACTGTAATGCGATGTAACCGTAAGCAATCGAAAGTTGCAGAATTAAAGAGTGCTGGTAACGTTCAGAACACAGCTGGGGGTGCCAAGGAACTAAAGTTTTGGAAATGGGGCTACAAAACAATTGATGAGTGTTTGAGGTGAAAGCCAATTGGCCGCAAAATTGAAATAATGGGCGTTGATATACGACCTATCAAATAATGAACTTAGCCAAAAAGATGAGAGTGCACTAATAGGGCAGCAAGTACATGTGTATTCTATTTAACCTGAACCAAAATGCTCCATAAACAATATAAACAACTTTATAATAAGAAGAAGAGGAATCAAAGAAGGACCAACATCGTTTTATCTTTTCAGCGTTTTAGAAGCCAGTGGAAGAAAGGTAACTCAATATTTATGTAACTCAAGGACGTTACCCTAATGACAGAAACAATATTAGATACCGCCTGGGAAATTATAATCTAAAGAACTAAAAATATTTTTTAAAACCTTACTATATCTCAAACTAAGCTATTATTTAGGGAAACCCACTGATATTTTGATAAAATATCCCAGAAATTCAAAGAGATATAGTAATATATTCTACAGGATACTGCACAGTAAGTATATTACAGAATTAGTAACAATCATACAAGGTGACTAAATAATATACCCTGTCCCAGGTGTATAGATATCCTAGTAGCTAGATAGCACTTTTGGTATTTAATGAGACTCCCACGCGTTATGGTTTCTAACAGCTAGAGAGCGCGATTAAGAATCAACCAAATTATCCCAAGGAAACAGAGAGTAATATCATTAACATTGATGCTACATACATAAAGAGATGTTATCTAATCTACTATCGCGGCTTTCTCGTAGCTTGTGGACTGTTCTCTCTTTCAGCAGTCGGCAGACAACCCTATGTTATCCCCATAGTTCTTCTCATGTTACTTCTACTGCAATTATTGGTGCTTCGGCGCCTCTGGGCGCACTTTGAGCGCGAGTATTCTTGACTTGGAGTAGACTACGCTCTCACGATAACCCCTGGAGGCAATGCCCCGCACATGATTTAGGGCTGCGTTTGGGTCTCGTAATGGGAATCCAGCTAGGGCACATCAAGCACCAGGGTAGCCTTGCGTTGCGACAGGTTTATCGTGCTTATTGAAGTTAAATTGTAACAATTTGGCAGGTGTTACGATACTCGGAACTGGTTGGCTGCATCCACAATGTACAGGTTTCTGCAGTGATATTCAAGCATGCTGCCATCCTACTCTGGGGCCCAAACTAAGATAATAAATAGAAAAAAAGAGAGAGAGAGAGAGAGAGAGAGAGAGAAGAAAAGGAA